TCCTGGAGAACCCCAGCCAGAGCTCCCGACTAACAGCTCCATTCCGGAAACATGTCAGGCCCAAGAAGCAGCATGAGATCCGGAGGCTGGGAGAGGTGAGGAGATGGCTGGAGCATGGGTGGTGTCTGGGAACCCAGGGACTCCTTAAGCGTGGCTTACAAAGATATGTGCCCTTTACTTCACATGCAAGGCCAGAGGCCCTAGACATTCCTTTACCTCAACAGATACAACTATAATCATATTTTGATGCTGGGGTTCTTTTTCATCCTTTTGTGGGGTTAGTTGGTAGCTAGGTCTGAATCAGTCTCATTCCTGTTCTCAAATCTCCATAATCCGCTCATGGCTTAACGCAGGGTTCTTGTTCTGTGGGGGAGATTGAATCACTGACCTGTAAGGCAAGGAGAGTGGGCCTGAACCTGGATCAGGTCCACTCTCCTTGCTTCCACCCTCACCCCTATATCTTTCTTTCCAAATCTGTCATCACATCCGGGGCACCCTATGTCCATCTTTCTCTGTCATCTTTGTCTCCTCCACTCTCACTATGGGTGTTTGCCCCAGGAGTCAAGAACCAGTGGCCAGGAGACCTTTGTTCCCTCTTCTTTCAGTTGGTGAAGAAGCTGAGTGATTTCACAGGCTGCACCCAGGTTGTAGACGTGGGCTCAGGCCAGGTGAGCCAGAGTCTTGATGTACTGTTTTTTTGAGTCATGGGGAGATAGAACACCTGGAAGGCAGGTTATTGGGCCACAGGCCCAGCGAGGCAGGTGTCAAGAAGCGGTGGAACCAAGCAGGGTAGATTTTTTTTCTCTTTGCATAATTTGTTTTAAGCCAGTCAGATTTAAATGGGGGAGTTATATACCAACTTAAGCCACACTGATGTTAATAAGTTCTGTAGGGTAAAATTTAAGCCTTCTGTCGGGCCTGGGACCCAGGTGTCCAGGTTACCCCTGGGGAGGGTGACAATGGATACGGCACTGAACAGGGCTGTTTCCATCTTCCTCCTCATGACTCCAGGGCCATCTCTCCCGCTTCATGGCTCTTGGCCTGGGGTTGATGGTGAAGAGCATCGAAGGGGATCAGAGACTGGTGGAGAGAGCCCAGCGCCTGGACCAGGAGCTTCTGCAGGCTCTGGAGAAAGAGGAGAAGAGGAACCCGCAGGTAGGCCACCCCTTCCTGCCACCTGGACTGTGGGAGGAGGGGCTGCTTGGCTGGAATTGAGCACAGAGGCTGGATTCCATCTTTCAAATTTCTCAGCTTGAAGTGGTGTGGTCCCTAATTTCTATTACCTCTTTCCCAAGGTCCCCCCTTCCCCAGTGCCTCCCTTTATCTCAAAGTTATTTTCTATTTACAAAGTGCTTTCCACACCAATGTATACTTCTCACAACCTGTGAAGTGGCCACTCAGGTTTTAGACTCATTACAAATCAGAAAACTGGGTCTCAGAGATGAAAAGATGTACATGGTGAATGATAGGTCCAGGATTTATCCCATCTCCTGACTTGTGGTCCAGCCCTCTCCCGCACCCAGCTTATCTCCCACATTCCTCCTTGGGGAATAACATGGAGGACAGATCCCTTCCTGTGGCCTGACGTGGCCTAGGGACAGCAAACAGATTTCCCATCTGCCTTTGTCCTTTCCTGCCTCCACAGGTGGTCCAAACCAACCCTCGTCACTCCCCACACCATGTGGTTAGGTGGGTAGACCCCACAGCCCTGTGTGAGGAGCTTCTGCTTCCACTGGAGAACTCGTGTCAGGGCAGGGCCCGCTTGCTGCTCACAGGCCTCCACGCCTGTGGGGATCTGAGTGTTGCCTTGCTGAGGCACTTCTCTTGCTGTCCTGAGGTGGTGGCCCTGGCCTCAGTGGGCTGCTGCTACATGAAGCTGAGTGACCCTGGCGGCTACCCACTGAGTCAGTGGGTGGCTGGGCTGCCTGGCTATGAACTGCCCTACAGGCTTCGGGAGGGGGCCTGCCATGCCCTGGAGGAATATGCTGAGCGGCTACAGAAAGCTGGCCCTGGCCTCCGAACTCACTGCTACCGTGCAGCACTGGAGACAGTCATCCGACGGGCCCGGCCCGAGCTCCGTCGGCCAGGCGTGCAGGGTATCCCCAGGGTCCACGAGCTCAAGATTGAAGAGTGAGGTTGGGGTACGGGGGTGGGGGGCAGTGGAGGGGAGATTTCTAACTGGAGATCTTCCGCCCTCACTTTCAGCATAGCCTAAAGAAAATCTAAGTATACCCAGAGGAGTGATTTGGAGTTCTCTGACCAGGGTACCTTCTCAAAATTTCTTTAAGAGAGTTGTCCCTCTTTTATCAGGAGACTAACAAAGAAATATGAAGTTTTGGCCGGGCGCGGTGGCTCATGCCTGTAATCCCAGCACTTTGGGAGGCTGACGCGGCCAGATCACCTGAGGTCAGGAGTTTGAGACCAGCCTGGCCAACATGGCGAAACCCTGTGTCTACTAAAAATACAAAAATTAGCCAGGCGTGGAGGCACGCGCCTGTAATCCCAGCTACCGGGGAGGCTGAGGCAGAATAGTTTGAACCCAGGAGGTGGAGGTTGCAGTGAACCGAGATTGTGCCACTGCACTCTAGCCTGGGCGACAGAGCAAGACTGTCTCAAAAAAAAAAAAAAAAAGGGTTTTTAAATGCTAAAAGTATGGCTAGTTGGACAGAACTGGCTGAAAATGTTTAAATCAATTTACTATTGGACAGACAGCTCACAGCCAGAGAAACATTCAAAAATACCCAGCCAGGTGTGGTGGCTCATGCCTGTAATCCCCGATCTTTGCGATGCCAAGGCAGGAGGATTGCTTGAGGCTGGGAGTTAGAGGCCAGCTTGGGCTACGTAGAGAGATACCTCTGTACAAAAAAACATAGGCAGGCATGGTAGCTCATACCTGTAGACCTAGCTACTTGGGAGGCTGATGTGGGAGGATTGAGGTGTTTGAGACTACAGTGAGCCATGATTGCACTGCTGCTCTCCAGCCTGGATGACAGCAAGACCCTGTCTTAAAAAATACATATTTGGGAGGCTGAGGTGGGCGGATCACAAGGTCAGGAGATCGAGACCATCCTGGCTAACACGGTGAAACCCCATCTCTACTAAAAAATACAAAAAATTAGCCGGGCGTGGTGGCGGGTGCCTATAGTCCCAGCTACTGTGGAGGCTGAGGCAGGAGAAGGGCGTGAACATGGACGGTGGAGCTTGCAGTGAGCAGAGATCATGCTACTGCACTCCAGCCTGGGTGACAGTGAGACTCCGTCTCAAAAAAAAAAAAAAAAAAAAAATATATATATATATATATTCGTGAAAACGCATATTAGGGTAGAAAATAAAGCAAAGTTGGAATTAGGAACAAAGTTTAAGTGCGAGGTGACAGTTCTTAAAACCAAACTGAGTGCTGAATGTGACTGATCCCACAGATATGTGCAGCGGGGGCTACAGCGAGTGGGGCTGGACCCCCAGCTGCCACTGAATCTGGATGCCCTTCAGGCCCACCAGGCCCAGGAGAACCGTGTAGTGGCCTTCTTCAGCCTGGCTCTACTGCTTGCCCCACTGGTGGAGACGCTTATTCTACTGGACCGGCTGCTGTACCTTCAGGAGCAGGGTGAGGGTGGCCTACAGCAGGGACCCAAGGACTATGGTGACTGGGGTTCTGGGACTCCTTCTCCAAGTCCCAGCTCCAACGTCTCCTGGGCCCAGCTAATCACTGTTGTGATCCTTGGACCCCACCTTTGAGTCACTAGTGGGTTGGGAGTAGGGGATTTGTTAAAAAATTAAGAATCCAGGCGGAGTGCAGTAGCTCATGCCTATAATCCCAGCACTTTGGGAGGCCAAGGTGGGTAGATTAATTGAGGTCAGGAGTTCAAGACCAGCCATGGTGAAACCCCATCTCTACTAAAAATACAAAAAGTAGCCGGGTATGGTGGTACACACCCGTACTCTCAGCTATTCGGGTGGCTGAGGCAAAAAAAATTGCTTGAAGCCAGGAGACAGAGGTTGCAGTGAGCCAAGATTGCACCGCTGTACTCCAGCCTGGGTGACAGAGACTCCATCTCGAAAAAAAAAAAATTAAGATTCCTACCAAATCAGCCTCTGGTGAACCTCCCTAAGGTGCATGTTAAGCAAGCTTCCCAGGCATCGAGAACCTACAATGCAAGAGGACTGCCTCCCAAGTCAGTGCCTTGGGAACCTGTGTTCCTTATGGAGAATGGGGTCTCCTTAGCCCGGCTGGATCCTCCCCCATGGGGAAAAGGGACTGTGCCTGTAGGCCTGGGCAGAAGAGGCTGGGTGAGTTTGGTTCATTCTTCCCCTTATGATTAAGCCCTTTCTTCCAGGTTTCCATGCTGAGCTCCTGCCCATCTTCAGTCCTGAACTCTCTCCCAGAAACCTGGTTCTGGTGGCCACCAAGATGCCCCTGGGTCAGGCTCTTTCTATTCTGGAGACTGAAGACAGCTGATGCAGCCTCAGGACACATCTCAGACCCCATCATCTGAAAGTGCCCAGATAGCACAGTGGCAGAGTACACCTCATACAGAGAAGCAGCATCCTGCATCCTCCTGAGTCGTGGTTCCTTCAGTTTCATCCCCTTTCTCTCCCTCCATGGATTATGTAATACAGTGTAAAGTTTTAATTTATTAAAAATTAGAAATCTTTGTTTCCTTCCCATTTCTGTAGGTAGATAAAAGGAGACGCGCACCCTCCCTGTGGCACTGCTGCAAGGGTGCTACAGTTAGGACTCACACGCCACTCCCCACTGGCCTCCCTAGCAGGTGGTGTAGGTGACAGCTTCTGTTACAGATCTCCATGGAGGGGACTTCTTTACCCCACTTTGGCCTCCAACTCAGAATCTGCAGGCCCTGCCCCTTGGGAGGGCTGCCTTAAGGCCAGCTAACTTCCATCCAGGTTCTGTCATAAACTCAGGGAAGAAGCTCCTTTCCTTCAGTCCCTGAGAGTGTGCTGGGATTAGGGGTGCCATTCTATCTCACAGCAGCTGTACACAGGACTCATAAACTGCTCTTTATTGGCATCTGAAGAAGAGGTGCCTCAGCCTTCAAGGCTGGGACAGAAGTTGGGGAGGAGCTGCTGTTCCTGGGCTCAATACCAATAGACCTTCTTGTATTTCCGAGTCTCCTTGATCCCCATGGCCTCCATCACCTCCTCCTGTAGTGTCTTTAGACGGGGCACGTAGGTTCTTTCTAAAGCATCTTCCACTGATGTGTCTTTGGGGCCATCTGTTAAGCCAGAGGAAAGGAGATGGGTAGGAGGGCTTGCCAACTTTCATTAACATCCCCTACTCTCACTCCTAGCACCCACCCCTGACCTTCCTGCCCCTCACTCACCAATCCATGTTTCAGGTACGATGCCATCAGCTCTGGGAAATTCGGGTTTAGGGATAATTCTCCCCGATCGTGTGGAGACTCGTACCCGCTCTCCTGCTTCAGTATATCTCCACTCAATCTCAGTGGGTTTCCTGGTGGATAGAAGAGGTGAGCCTGGCCTATGAGCCAGTTTCCTGCCACCCTCCAACCCAAAAGCAGAGTCAAGGGTTCAAAACACCAGGGTTACCACCACGTTTCTCCACCTCTGTGTTGGGGTTACCCGCAGGGAATCATGTCCATGAGATGGTCCCTCTCAATCTCCAGAGCATCCAACCCATCATTCCCATTGGACAGCACTTTGTGGACCCAGAGGGTGAGAAACCCTCTGCCCAGAGCCCTGTCGCTTGCCTGTCCATAGGATCCACAAGTTTGACCTGGCGGTGGAGCAAGGGGGCTTCACTAGGGATCATGGTTCCTCGGTATTCCATGGTCTTGCCAATGTAGCGGTAATACTGTCCAAGAAAGGGGAGTGTCAGAAAACAAGGGGTGTGAAAGGGGTTTGCCCTTGCTACTCAGCACATTCAGCCCAAGTTGAAAAGTAGAAGGTTCAGTAATGCCACCATCCCCTCAGCCAGTCTCCTGCCACCCTGCGCTGCTTGGAATGGAGAGGGACGGATGAGACGGGCTTCCCAAGCTTCCCCATCCTCTCTCTCCACTTACTGTGTTCAGCCCTCCCACGACCACGCAGTTTTGCTGCCGGATAACTTGAACCACTTTGCCCTGCTTTCCGGCATCCTTGCCTTCTAGGATCTCCACCTGTGGGAAGATATGAAGGTTAGGAAGGGGGATCCTTGCCCAGGAGATTCCCCATCACTCTATGCCCTGTATGAGGCTCTCACCGTGTCCCCACAGAACAGATGCCAGTCTTCATCAGAGATGGGTTCCACAACCACTGGGCGCCGCCTGCTCCATGGGGCGTTCTTCCTCTTGTCTGCCAAGGAGCCTGAGGGGCTCATCCCATAGCAGTAATTGGGGGGCAGAGTGACCTTGGATGCCAAGGCCAGTAGGGCAGAAAGACGCATGCCTGGAGGCTGTAAGAAATCCCTTTGCCAGCAAAATGCTCAGAAATCTTCCTTGTCAGCTCTGGGTAGATGGATAGAAACGGGAGCAAAGCGGCAAGGGAAGGAACATTTTTTAAAGCACTTACTCTGTTGCTCAATGGACCTCATCACATTGAATCTTCACAAGAGGTTATCATCTTTATAGATGAGGAAATAGAAAGGTCAAGTAACTTATTTATGATTACAAAGTTACTACATTGGAGAATCAGCATTCAAACACACATATATCTGACTTCAAAGTCCAAAAAATTCATTAAGGACAAGGGCCATATTATCTATCTCAAGTTCATGAATCCAGAGCTTGGCACCTAGTAGGTGCTTAAGAAATACTTATTAAATCAATGTATGAACAGCCAGATAGGAAGAAAACAGAGGATGGAATGCTGGCATACGGCCAAAAGGTAGGCAGTTGTAAGTCAGTGAAATGAACAAATAGGTAGCAGAAATAAAAACTGGGGTTAAAATGTCCCTATCCCACTTACAATTCCTGTCCTAAGACAGGAAATAACCACTCCTCCCTAAGATAGCTCCTTTTCTAAAGGAAAAAGACCCAAGGCCAGATTCTAGAATTACTGAGTCCTAAATTTCCCAACTAAGTATGTGCTCTAAACCACTCAATTCTCAATTAATGAGGTAGTGAATGAACTGAAGACATAAATGGTAAGTGCTTCAGTTTACTGAATACTTGCAACTTCCCAGGTGCAATGCTAGGTGCTTTCCTGTATCTCATTTAAGCCTAAGGACAACCAAATGAAGAAGTCACCATTAACCTCATTTTATAGATAAAAATGAACCTTATCTATAAGGTTCTTCAAAGACAAATAAAGATACTACAATGGCATAAAGAGCCCTGGACAGAGAAGTCAGATCACCTGGGTTCTACTCCCTGCTCTACCATCATCTTACTTATGACACTAGGCAACTTTACTTATTTATTTTTTGAGACGGAGTCTTGTTCTGTCACCCAGGCTGGAGTGCAGTGGCATGATCTCAGCTCACCGCAACCTCTGCCCCTCGGGTTCAAGTGATTCTCCTGCCTCAGCCTCCTTAATAGCTAGGATTACAGGTATGTGCCACCACGACCCGCTAATTTTTAAAAAAATATTTTTAGTAGAGACAGGGTTTTACCATGTTGGCCAGGCTGGTCTCGAACTCCTGAAATCAGGTGATCCATCTACCTTGGCCTCCCAGAGTGCTGGGATTACAGGCATGAGCCACCACGCCCAGCCAGCAATTTAACTTTTGAACTTCAGTTTCATCATCCACAAAATTTACAGGGTTGTGGGTGTCATTTAGATTATTTTAAGTATTTTAACAAAGCAAGGTGCAAAGTAATGTGAGTAGTAGTATCCCTTTGGGGTATATGAATATATAGTCCAGCACAGTCACATTTATGGAAAGGAAACAAGAAACCAAAGTACTTGTTTTAGGGGAGAGGAAGTGTTTGGGAGGACTGTTAATTCCATTTTGCTTCTTCCCATAATAACGTTTGCATTTTCTAACCATGTGCACTTAAAAATATGTATTAACGGGTTATCTGAACAGTGAGATACTGGGTCATTTTTCTTCTTTATACTTCTCAGTATAAAGCCCTGATGTTATTTTCGGAAAAAGAAACAAAAACAAACAAAAAAAACCTTGTTATTTTCAATTAATGCTGATTGGCCTAGTGTTCCTGAGTATTCAACAAATGCTTAGAGAGGACTACTATATGACAAACCTAATGCTGGGAATTTCATTGCTGGCATTTGGTCTTCACATTGCCCAGTGAGGGAGGTGAGGTTGCCAGATGCATCATAAAGTCCCTTTTATCGACAAGGAAATCAAGGCCTGAAAGCCGGAGTGACTACCCTGGTTCATAAAGTTTGACAGGAGCAGGGCCAATCTTAAGACCCAAGCCTCCCGCGTGATTGCTGCAAGGAGTCCCTTCACCTCAGTCATTCCAGGTCTGAACCACCCCAGCCCAGAGCAGCTTGCATGCCCCCGATATCATTCCCTTCTTTCCCTCCACAATCTGGAGATGCTGCTGGTGAGCGTCCCGCAGTGGGGCTTTCCCTGCATGTTCTGGAGGCGCCGTGCAATATAGCGGGGTCGAAGGTCTGCCCTCTCAGGTCACGGTTCCAAAGGCTTCCCCCACCAGCCTCATACCAGACAACGTCAAGGCCTAGCTATCTTCAGCACCCACCCGCTCCAAACTTTCGGTGCAAAGAAACCCTGGGGAGGCGACTGAGCCATGGGCAGGGAAAAGGTTAGGCTCTTCCCGCACCTGCCTCTCGGATGAGCACCTCTGGGGCGGGCGGCCCTCACCTCCACTTTCCGCGGCACTTCTCCTGCTCAGCACATGGGCCCTCAGCGTCCCCTCCCCTGCCACGCCCGTCGACTTTGTGGGAGATGTAGTCCAAGTGTAAAACGGCAGCTCAACCACGAATCTGATCTCTCAGCATGCTGGGAGTTGCAGTCCGCCGCTAGAAAGCTGGAAACAGGAAGTTTGGCAGGGTAGGAAATCAAGGAAACCAAAACACACCACGAAGCATGTTGGGAATCGAAAGGCAAGCTGGTTAGGGCGGCCCGCCTGGCACATTCCCGCGCATGCTCTGCGTGGAGGCCGCTGGGAATTGTAGTTTCTAGAGAAGAAGGCTCCATTTTCTAGGTGGTTCTGGCTTCCTGTTCAAGGCGAAGGGCCGCCCTTACCAGACAGGGCTACAGCCAATGCTCTCCCTGACCTTCTCTGCTGGAGTGGGGGCAGGGCAGATTCAAAAACTGCCTGTAGGCTTTCTAGAGGAAGGGATGAAACGTGGGCCCTTCCAATGCTAGTAGCCGATCTAGTTACAAAATGTCAGATCTGGAAGGAAACAGAAATGATCTAAGCCAGTCATTCCACTTAACTCGGGGAGTACTATCGGGATTTCACCCTACCAACCCCCTCCCCCTACCACCCCATCACCAGCTAAGGGTGGCAGGTAGCATTAGCAAGGAGAAAGGGTTATATACTATTATTTGACTTGACCTTTGGGGTCAAAGTTGTTTATACAATCAGCCTCCAAACTCCCACTTCATCTTGGGCTGTGGCCGATACTGGCATCCTCTCACATCCCACTTCTTATGCAAACCCTTTTTTAAAAAAAAAAAAAAAAAAAAAAAAAAACTCATCCAGGTGCGTTAAACAGTGGCTGGGCAGGAAAGGTAGAATGAATGGTGTGGTTTATTCTAGGACTCTGCCCACAAGAAGTTTGGATTTCCAAATGCCTAAGAATGGAGGAGGCTGACACCCTCTACCTCAATCTGAGATGATCTGGAAATCATTTGCATTCCCTTACCCCACTTTCTGTCTTCAGTTAACCAATATGCCCCAAAGAATCAGTCAGAATCCAATATAGTAATCAACGGGTTTTATTTTCCTAGAACTCAAATCATCTACGGTTCTCAGAGCTAAACTTCCAAAGCTACAGTCAGCAATTTTTCATCAGAGCCCAAGGGAGAGGGGCCAGGGTAAAAGAGACGAGACTGTAGAGAGGCATAGAGAGACCAGTAGGTAGAGGGCGGGAGAGGGCACTTATATCTCTCTGTCCTCTCAGTGGGTTACAAATCAGATCTGGTGACAACACTGAGGGGGCCAGGTCAGGGTATGTGGATGAGAAATGACACTGGAAGGAACACCAAAGCCCCAGCTACAAAAAGAAAGTCATCAAGCCCCAAATAGAAGGGGAGCCTCCCAGTGCACCTCAGAAATGGGGGCAACGATGGGGAAGGAAGGAGCAGAATGGGGAGCACACAAAGGGTTAGGGGTCTTTAAAATTTTTTTTTTGTAATTTTCTTTTATTAAAAACATTTCCTAAAAAATGTGTCTTTTCTTTTATGTCTGGGTGATATATATGACTATAAGCTGGCCTTGAGCACTGTGCAGAGAGGGAAAAGGACAGCTAGGGGTCTTCCCAAGCATCCCATTTCTGGCTTCAGAGATCTAAAGGGGAACAGATGCTCAATACTCACACCCAAATGGGTAAAGTCAACCCTTCAGGTCTCAGGTCCTTGGCCCAAACAACTAGGAAGCCCCAAAGTCTTTTGATGATTAACTACAACTCCCAAAACTCTTGGGTCGGCAAAAGGAAAAATGGGTATTGTTAACCATCAAGGATTTATGGAAAGGAGCCCCTCCCCTACAAGCTGTTCCACTTTCCCTGAATCTAGGCAGCTGGGATAATAGGTGTAGCAGGGGACAGGAGCTCAGGAGGAGGCTGCCCTCCTGTGCTGTCCCTATGCCCCATTTGAGGATTGCCCCTCCCAGGCCCCACAAGCCCATCCTGCTGTTTATGCTCCATCTTTTCCATTCCTACCCCTGATCCAAACCCAGAGTTCCAGAATGCCTAGGAGAGTGGGAGAAGGGTGTCAGGAGGTGGGAACAGTTGTCCCAGGCCCCAGCAGAAGCCTGGAAAATAGCTTCAAGCGGAAGGAACACAATGGCCTCATCTCATTCCAGGGAGAAGACATGGCTCTGACTCAGATCATAGGCGAATGGGGACCTAGAGGTGAGGGCCAGGTGGTCCGCCCCATCCAGGTCAATCTCCATGGGCTGGGCTTGGAGTGGGAAAAGTGAGTGGAAGAGGAGAGCAGGTTGGGGTGGGAAAGGGGTTCCCAGTTTGCAGGCCATGGCCAGTTTCCCCAGTAGCACCCAGACAGCAGCAGGAACAGGGTGGGGGCTCCTCTTCAAACATTGGTGGCTACAGGCTGTGAGGGAGGGTTGGAGGGGAGAAGGGTTAATGGTGTGGCCTTGGCCTGGCCTTGCCCCAGCCAGTGCCAGTCTCCTAGGAGAGCCCACCCCGCCTCCCCAGAGGCTGGCCACTGCAGGCCCTTTTCATCCTCCTCTCCGAGAGTGACCAGCCCCCACTAGTCCAGCTGCCAAGGGGTCAGGGGGCTCACTCACCTCTCATGATCTCTGATGCCTGGGGCCTCAGCATCTTCCTTGGCAGCCTCTTCCTCTTCCTCCTCCTCTTCTTCTTCCTCTTGGGGAAGCCCCCGGCCAGAGCCAGGCTCAGAGGGGGTGCTATTCTTTTCCACCTCCATAAGAAGGGGCCTCTCGCCCTCCAAGGTGGCTGCCTCCTTCTCCTCTCCTTCAGGGTTTTCTGCCTCCTTGGGACGTTTAGGAGAGTCCTAGGCAGGATCGACAGAGGAAGCGGGCTGAGGCTGGAGAGGGAGGCCACCAGCCACCCACTCCTCTCCTCCGGGCCTCCTTCCCAGGCTGACACCCAGTCCTTCCCCAGCCCTACTAGCTGAAATGACTTCTGTGTCCCATTTCGTCAGCTGGGGACTCCCCAAGCTAGAGGCTGGATCTACCTCTCAGACTGGGCACCTCTGAAGCAAAGCCCTGCTCTTGTGGGATACCCCATGGGGAATGCTGAGGGGGGCCCAGGCCCTAGGCAGGCAGCAGTTACCTCCAGCAAGTCCCCTGCTCTCCTCTTCAGCGCTCCCTTCTCGTTCTTCTCCTTGGCTGGCTCATCAATGACCAGCTTCCCTTCCTCGTCGCTGCTGCCCTCTGCATTCCCCTTCTTATCACCGTCACCCTCTGTGGCTTCAGGCTCGGGTTCAGGCTCTTCCACACAGCTCTTTTTCTGGGAGGACTGCAGCAGAGACAGCACAGGCTGAGTGGCACCAGTCACTGCCATGCTGGGCCCCCTCCCCAGACCCTCCCTCAGCCACTCACTCCTTCCTTTTCCCGCCTCTCCCCCACCCCCACCCAGGTGCCCAGTCTCACGAGTGATTTGAGACCCACCTCTGTCGGATTAGCCCCGGGGTAAACCCACTGGCCGGGCAGGCAGGGCTCTGTGCAGGAGGGGGGAGGGCTGGAGCAGGAGGCAAAACCTCGGGTCAACTTCTCCCAAAGGGAGCTAGGACCCTTTCCCCGCCAACCCCCGCCCCCCACCCTCCCGCCTCGTCCTGCCCGGCTCACAAGCACCTCCTCCTGGAAGCCTTCGTGGAAAGAGTTAAGGCCGTGTCCTATACTCACACTGGGCCCAACAAAGGCCTGTCCCCACTTACCGCCTCCATCCTGTTCTTGCCCCCCAGACTGCTGCCTCACAGTTGTCCCTAACCACAACTACACCACACAGCCCAACCCTATCTCCTCTTGCAGGAAGCCCCCTTCCCACCACCCCGATGAGCTCCTACCCTGAAAGCCCTGGAGTTTCTGAAGACTAAGCATCATCTGTGGGCCGGGGGCTGCCAGAGCCCATGGCCACATCTGCTTTCCAGGGGGTCTTTGGGGCAGGCGGTGGCTCACCTGATAGCCGGAAGCCTTGACGGTAGGGTTGTTCTCGATCTCCCACAGCCCCTCGCTGAACCCTTTCCTCTTGTTGGGCTTGCCAAACTTCTCCTTGGATTCCTCGTAAGGGAAGAGGTCTTTGGGGCCCAGGAATGCCCTGGTGAGAGATGGGAGACTGTGCTCTCAAGCCCCTCACTGCCCCTGAGCTGCACAGCCCGACATGAAAGGGGTACCAACACCACCTCTCCTTCCCCAAAGTAGTCCGCCCGGGGCTCTCCCGACCGATACCCCTTTGGCCTCCACTCACGTCTCGTGGGTCCCGAAAAAAAAGACTTGGTATTTGTTGGCTGTTGATTTCATGGCAGCCTCGGGCATCTCGTCAATCTGGGGTGAGATGAGGGGGTGAGGTCAGCTAGAGTCCTGAGGTTTTGAGTCTGAGGCAGGGGTGCTGACCTCCAAGGCACATTTATATAAAATCAGACTGAGAGGGACCCAGGAGAGTCAGCCAGATGGCTTTTGGACCATTTCTAGCAGACACTTTATTCAAATGTCAGACATGAACGCCCAACAGAAACCCAGGAATCCCTCCCTCTCCTTCACCAGCCAGACAGCACCCATTTTGCCTCCCAACGTGTCTCGCCACAAAGCTCCCTGACTTTGCCATCACCTTGGTCCAACTACTGTCATCTCTTGCCTGGACGAAAACCACTGCCTCTAACTCTTTTCACAATCTCCATTTTCCACAATCTATTCTCCACAATGCAGCCAGGGTGGACCTTTGGGTATGTTGGTCCAAGGATTTTGTCACCTTGCTTCAAAACCCTTCAATACCTTTTAAGGACTCTAGGGCCCACTTGTTCATCCTTTCTGCACAATGGCAAGATCTGAATCCCAACTCTGCCCCCACTTGTATGACTTTGGGCAACTTACTGAACCTCTCTCTGCCTCAGTTTCCTCATCTGTAAAAGGGAGACAGTCATAGTACTAAAGCTATAGGGCTGTGAGGATGAAATGACCATAACTTGGCACACGGTACATCCTACATGTCATCAGCCTCTCCCAGTACACTGTCCTTTCTGCTCTGACCATGGTTCTTGCAGCCTCTTTTTTTTTTTTTTTTTTGAGACGGAGTCTCGCGCTGTCGCCCAGGCTGGAGTGCAGTGGCCGGATCTCAGCTCACTGCAAGCTCCGCCTCCCGGGTTCACGCCATTCTCCGGCCTCAGCCTCCCGAGTAGCTGGGACTACAGGCGCTGCCACCTCGCCCGGCTATTTTTTGTATTTCTTAGTAGAGACGGGGTTTCACCGTGTTAGCCAGGATGGTCTCGATCTCCTGACCTCGTGATCCGCCCATCTCGGCCTCCCAAAGTGCTGGGATTACAGGCTTGAGCCACCGCGCCCGGCCCTTGCAGCCTCTTAATACTCACTCACTCCTGATCATCCTTCCAGCCTCAGCTCCGCCATTACTTCCTCCAGAAAGCTACCCTATCACTCCTGGCCTGGTTGACTCGCTAGGTAAAATTCTTTCCTGAGACCTCCCCTTTACAGTGCTTTCCCAGTTCTAATTTTACACTGATTCATATTATTATTTAACATCTGTGTGCACTACCTGGACTAGACCAGCCCCAGGGTCAGAGACCAGCTCTGCTTTTATCTGCAGCACGGTGCTTAGCATACAGTAGGTATACAATTATTTACTGAATGAATTTATCAAACAGATAAAAAAAGCAAGCTGCTCTCGCTGAAGTGGAGGGGTGAGGTTAAAGGGCTGCCTATCCAACACCTGCCGAAAGGCTTCTAGGGAACTCTGAAAGGCACACAGTCAAACTCTCATTTTATAGATGAGGAAACTGAGCCCAGAAAACAAACGATTTGCCCAAAATAACACAGCAAGTTGTTGAGGACCAGGTTTCGGACTTAGATCACCCTGACGAAATCCCCTGCCCCAGGTGTGGTGAGGAGTGCTGTGGTGAAGGTGAGAGGTGCAGAAGTCTGAGGTCAGGGAATCCAGAGGCAGTGGCCTCACCAGCCTCTCCCAGATCAGGCCTGGAAGCTCAGGCCAAGCTGAGCCGCGGGTGGGTAGGGGGAAGGTGGGGCGGGTGGGGACTACAACTCCCAGCAGCACTTGCAGCAGCCCCAGCAGCCAGGCTTCCCGCCGGACAGAAGCCAGGTGGCCATGATGACTGGGGCCCCAGGCGCAAACAGGAGGGACAGAAAGGCCAAGGCAGTGATTAACACACAGAGACAGGGACAGAGGGCCCAACTGGGGGCCTGGGGAGACAGGGTGGATGGGAATGCGCTGAGACACACCCAGGAGAGGGGGTGGGGGCCTGGGCATGAATCTGAGGGGCATCTTGCCCCAGACTTGTAATCTTCAGACTTTTGGGCACCTCCCCGCTTGCCCCGTGGCCTCTGGGGACAGAGGTCCAGCCCTTCCCCCCAGGAAGGCCCAGCACAAACTGGGCCCTTCCCACAACCAGGAGACACCGGGTGTGAGAGCAGGGGGTGGAAAGGCACGCAGCTCCCCCCACAAACACGATCCCCATCGCTATGACAACCCAACCCCGCCCCTGGGGCCACTCAGCAACCAGGAATGTGACTGCCCCTCCCCCTCCGGGCCTTCTCTCCGGATTGGGGAGGAGGGGACACTAACACACACCCCACCCCCAAGCCTGCAGTCTGGCACCTGGGTCCCCGGCTGTGCTGGAAACCACAGCTAGGGCTGGATTACCGCTGCAGGGGGTGCGGAGAGGAGGCAGGCGTCCTTCTCAGGAAGCCAGACCTGGAGCAGGGGCAGAGGAGCCAGTCCTCAGCCAGGACACCTGGGTCCTGTTACCAGCTAGCTCCCACCCTCCTCTTAACAGGGGGAAGCAAAAAACAAAACGAGCGCCCCCAGGGCTTAGAGATCCCACGAGGCAGGCATAGGACAATAATAGCAAACGCCTTCCCTAGGCCTTTCCTCTGTGGATCTGTGTGCACCCAGAACCAGGGGTGGGGGTGGGGACTGAAGGGTCTAAGACTGGGAGTGCAGCAGGGGACTTACAGCTCTGCATTTTCAGCGCCCACACCTGAGCCAGGGCATTAAGATGCCCACAGTAAATGTGTGATGGAAGAGGAGAAACTGAGGCTTCGCAAGAGGGGGTGGGTGGGTGAAGGGTCAGAAATAAGGAGAAATGAGGTTCTTTGCAGACGCACAGACTGCAAAGCGGCTACCTGGCCATGGTCTCGTGCCACCCCAGCTTCCCATGGAAAGCAAACTCAGAGGCAGATAGTTGAATGGTGTGGCAGGGGACCCAGGAGGCCACCAGCTGCCTAGCCCCAGCGGTGGGGGAGAAACAAAAGAACCAAAGGGATTAAAAATAGCATGAGGCACACCAGATATGCCAGCCCTGCTGACTTCTAGCTACATAAAGGATGGGTCTAGAGGGAAGAAAGAGGAGGAAGACGGGCCGAGCAGATAGGCACCTCCCCGCAAAGCATCATCCCACCTGGCTCCCTCACCTAGAGTGTACGCAGTTGTGAGGGAAGGGCCAGGGGAGGTGTGCTCTTTTCACTTAATGGAATTCCTAACTCTTCAACCAAAAGGGGAGAAATCCCTTCTACAGTGGCACCTCTATTCCTCAAGCTACAAAGGAAATGTCCTTTCTTACATTTGGAAGTGGAGGGCGGTTCTTCCTAGATGTAGAGGATATGAGGTCTTGGGGGAGCCCCGTACCCCAATACAGACATCTCTCTTCCAGGCGGTGCCTTTATATCCAGGCTGTGACTCAGAACAAGTGAGTCAAGGCTAACTGCGTCAGGGTGGCGCCAAATAGTGCTGGGGACCCCACTGTACCCCCTCCACTAGCCAGTAATAGGGGAACTCGGCTACCTCTTAACCATTCCAGATGCAAGCAAGTTACTTATTCTCAGGCCTTGCATTTGCCCGTTTCCATCAGACAGGCTTGAGCACATGAAATACCAGCCTCCCAAGCCACAGACACTCTCTGACGTCCAAAGAGGAATCTGAAGTTTTCAGGTAGAGTGGGGAAACAGAACTGAACACCTCTCCCCCCGCCTCAAACTAAAAACAGATTCAACACTTAGGAAGGCAGCAGGGAAGGCTAAGCACACACTGCCTGCCAACCAGGGTTCTGACCACCACACCCAGGGCTGAGGCCCAACCTGACCCAGGAACCGGAAAATCTGGGGCAGGAGACAGTTGGGGCCAGGAAAGTGTGGCAAGCCCAAGAGGCAGAAAAGAGAAGGTACAGGGGGAAGGGGCACAGGGAGGAAAGACGGGTGAGGTCCTGGCTGCCCAGGTTTTCTGGGACTGTGAAACGGGAATCAGCCAAAGGAGAAAGGGACCAGGGGGGAAAATCTCTGAAGTATTGGAGGTTAATTGTTAAGTACTTGGAGATCCCCCAGGAAGTTAGGCAGGCGGAAGAGGGAAAGGAGAAGGTTAAGATGGAGTCACACCATCCTTCCAGGCAGGTCCTGCCTATCACATGGCCCCTCTGGCTGGGCTCTCTCTCAAGCACTGGGCCCTTCTAGTTTCACCCAGAATCACCCATCCTCCTCAGCAGCGGGGATTGAAGAAGGAAAATCCACGCACGGGCCTTCTTTATGGCTGAAGATTCGGGCTTCCTATGAGATGGGGGAGTCAGTGAGGTTCCCTCTTCTCATCCATCTCAGGAAGGGCCCCTCAGGCTCTGCCTCTCTAGGGACTAAGACACAGTCCAAGGAATGGTGAGGAGACTTGAGGTCTGTTCTTTTGGAGTATAAGGGGACTGTGTCTGGGAGGTAACAGCCTTGGGTGTAGCCCTCCCTGCAAGTATCACAATCAAGAGCCGGAGACAGGCAAAGTGTGGGGTCCTACCGCTTTGAGATCCAGTCTGATCTCCCTACCCCAGTTCTAACTTTATCTAAAAGGTCCAGGTCTGAACAGAGGAAGAAACGCTGCCTCCCCTGTCCCTCCCTTCTGTCCTGGAGGCCCAAAGTGGAGAGGAAATGGATGGGATCCCTAGTCCCAAGGACTGCCCTTACTCCAAAGGCCACCAGAAACTTGAGGTCTTCCTCACAGGGGCCAGTGTGGGTCCTTCTGTGTCCCTACCCCTTTTCTCTCTTACCGGATGCAGAAGGGGTTCCCTGCAACCCACATTCCAGCTAACACCCCCTCCCCAGGGCTTATCCAGCCTCTGGACTTTGTCCCACCCTCAGGAGGTAGGAACAGTAGAGACCTGGGTTCAGTTCTTGTCCTGCCCACCAGGGCCTTGGCATCTGGGCCAAGAAGCCAGTGGGGTCAAAGGGTGCAGGGTAAAGTACACAAGAGTTCGCACACGGAGAGTCCCACTTCTCTTTGTACTTCTCCCATTAGCAGAAGTTGGTCCTCATCTGATCCATCTGAA